GAATATGAATGCTGGTGATGGATGGGGTTGCTTGTTTGTATGCGTGCGTAACTTTACGTGTGCGTGTATGTGGGGGGGGGGGGGGGGGGGGGGGCATGTTTTTGCTACGTTGAGGGAACCATTTTTCTGAAAAAAGCAGCCTTGTGGGGACCAAATGTGCATCGTGGGTTGGGGGCTTGGGTTTAGGACCAAGGTGTGAATTGAGTTTAGGTTAGTTTTAGGGTCAGGTAGGTACCTGTGAGGTTAATTTTAGGGTAAATGGTCAGGGTTTGGATATAAAATTACCAGAAAACGAATGGAAGTCAATCCATGGTCCCCACAAGGAAATAAAACCAAACCTGAGTGTGCATTAATGTGTATGGTGGGATTAGTTTATTTGAAATGACTACAAGGTTCAGGAAACGTGATTAATTCAATCTTTAGTTGCAGAGGCTGTCAGAGAAAAATGTGTGTGAGAGGTGATGAAGGTGGAATTTGCTGTTTATTTTTTATAAACAAAAGTGTAGAGCTGATGTTTTTGTTGTATTTTTCTTGTCCTGTCGTCCTGCAAGTTGAAAACTATGTCCTGCATTTGACTGTGTCAAATTATGAATAGCCAAAAAAAATGAACAAGATGATAGATAAATAAAAAGATAATTTCATGGCTGCATTTTGCAGCCACTAAATAACTGTCAAAAAAAAGTGCAGCTACAACAAAGACTGGCAAATCCTATCAGTCTATTTAGACAGACAGATAAGAGCAGCTCAGCACTACAGGACAGCTGTTCTGCTCCTTCCAGCTGTAGGCTTGTGTGGATCTTATGGTTTCCTGTTATTTAATGTTATTTCATTATGCTTAAATTAAAAGATGTTAAACTTTAGAAAATGTTTCTTAACCAAAGTTTTTACTGATAAACTTTAAAAGTTTTGAATGGAAAAAATAAAATTACATTTTTTTCTTTAAACCTTAAAAACAGTGTGCACCAACAGTCAAAACAGTAACATTAATATAATGTGGGAGCTATAATAAATTTAAAGTTATGACATCATAACGTTGATGAGGTGCACATTGTCTCTCATTAGCATGCTTTTTGTCCCACATTCATTGTTTCAGGATCTGGTCACCCTAGCTGGAAGTTTCACAGCTCATGATGGAGAGCCACCATAAAGACTGGACTAAACAGTGTAGGGCAAGTTTATTTTCTTTTGTAGTTTTTCTGTGTCAGTAAGTTTCTCAGAGCTTTCCTAAACAAAAACAATATAAGGGCACAATTTTCAAATATGATCTTAGATAAAGTTCAGCTCAAAGACTATGTAGACCATGATTTACAGTAAATACCATATCATACTGTAAAGGTTTTATGTTTTAGTAAAGGGGTGGCCACCTCTTAAAATGCACTTCAAATGGCTGAAAAATGCAGAGTTTTGAGTATATTTTTTCAGAAATTTCTGGGGTCTCAGCATCTGAACCCTACTAGACTCACTTTGTTCTGCTGGTGCTCCTAGGTGAAGCTTACTGTTATCACTACAAATCATTTCTATATATATAGAAACACACACACACACACACACACACACA